CTCTTCCTTCCTGCCTCCTCCCCCTCCTTTTATCCCTGGGTCGTTTTCGCTTGATGCACCCGTGGGCAACGAAACGTGACGTGCTTTGTCGGATGCGGTGCGCGTTGCAACAATTGTGTTCGCTTGACACATCCTCGCAGCTTACTGAGATGTTGCGCTCTCTCGAAACTTGCACCCCCCCTGCAAAGCCAACAGAAGGGGTGGGCGAGGGGGGGGCTGATAAGATTGAACATGCATGTGGGTAAAAAGAAGAGGGGGTGATAAGAGGACAGGGGTAGCGGCGACTGAGAGGGCGGGGGCATATAGAGAACACGCCACGTAACCACCTGCACCATTTACACGAAACAACAAGCGTACGCACACCCTGCGCCCCGCCCGCCCACCACGCGCGCACACACACAGACACAGACACAGACACAGACACAGACACACAGACACACAGACACACACACAGACACAGACACAGACACAGCCACAGCCACAGCCACAGACACAGACACAGACACAGAGACACTGACACAGACACAGACACAGCCACAGCCACAGCCACAGCCACAGCCACAGACACAGACACAGACACAGACACAGACACAGACACATATACAGACGCAGACACAGACACAGACACACAGACACACAGACACACAGACACACAGACACACAGACACACAGACACACAGACACAGACACACAGACACAGACACACACAGACACACACACAGACACACACAGACACACACAGACACACACAGACACACACAGACACAGACACACACAGACACAGACACAGACACAGACACAGACACAGACACAGACACAGACACAGACACAGACACAGACACAGACACAGACACAGACACAGACACAGACACAGACACAGACACAGACACAGACACAGACACAGACACAGACACAGACACAGACACAGACACAGACACAGACACAGACACAGACACAGACACAGACACAGACACAGACACAGACACAGACACAGACACAGACACAGACACAGACACAGACACAGACACAGACACAGACACAGACACAGACACAGACACACAGACACAGACACAGACACAGACACAGACACAGACACAGACACAGACACAGACACAGACACAGACACAGACACAGACACAGACACAGACACAGACGCAGACGCAGACGCAGACGCAGACGCAGACGCAGACGCAGACACAGCCACAGCCACAGCCACAGACACAGACACAGACACAGACACAGACACAGACACAGACACAGACACAGACACAGACACAGACACAGACACAGACACAGACACAGACACAGACACAGACACACACACACACACACACTGTGTAGGCACACCGTACACCCCCCCGCCCGCCCACCAGGCACACGCCCCCGTGCGCACACCGAGCCCCCCCCCCCGTCCCCCTGGCGCACACCCTGTACACGCCCGCGCACACACGCGCACACCGTGCACACACAGCCGCGCACACAGACACACACGGGCACACACAGGCACACACACACATGCACACACACACACATGCACACGCACATGCGCACAAACAAGCATGGGCCACGTGCAACACCGGACCAAAGCAACCGCAGGCAACCACTAATCACAAGACAGCTCGCGGTTTGGGCCCCACCCCCGGCCCAAACGACGAGCATAAATCGGGCGCAGCCCCGCACGCATTCGAATGCCCACACTTTGTCCTCGTACTACTCGTTTTCCTCCCCGTCCTCCTCCCCATCCAGATCGTCGTCGTCGTCCTCTTCCTCGTCCTCCTCCTTATCTTCCTCGTCTTCTTCGTTTTCTTCCTGCTCCAGCTCCTCCTCGTCGCCCTCGTCTAAGACCTCGTCTTCGTTTCTCCTCTTCCCCCTCCTGCTCCTCCTCCTTCTCCTGGCACCTGGCATGCGCTATCAGTTGCGCCATAGGTTGCGCCCTCGGCGGCCGAGAATAAAAGCGTGCCCTATCGGTGACGCCATAGATTGCGCCCTCGGCGGCCGAGAGTAAAACCGTCTCCTATCGGTTGCGCCATGGGTAGGTCGCGCCCTCGGCGGCCGAGAATCAAGCCGTCTCCTATCGGTTGCGCCATAGGTTACGCTCCCGGCGACCAAGAATAAAACCGTCTCTTATCGGTTGCGCCATAGGTTGCGCCCTCGGCGGCCTAGAATACAACCGTGTCCTATCGGTTGCGCCATTGGGTGCGCTCTCGGCGGCCAAGAATAACACCGTCTCCTATCGGTTGCGCCACAGGTTGCGCCCTCTGCGGCCTAGAATAAAACCGTCTCCTATCGATTGCGCCATAGGTTGCGCCCTCGGCGGCCGAAAATATACCGTCTCCTATCGGTTGCGCCATAGTTTGCGCCCTCGGCGGCCTAGAAGACAACCGTGTCCTATCGGTTGCTCCATTGGGTACGCTCTCGGCGGCCAAGACTAAAACCGTCTCCTATCTGTTGCCCCACAGGTTGCGCCCTCGGCGGCCGAGAATAAAACCGTCTCCGATCGGTTGCGCCACAGGTTGCGCCCTCGGCGGCCGAGAATAATACTGTCTCCTATCGATTGCGCCACAGGTTGCGCCCTCTGCGGCCTAGAATACAGCCGTCTCCTATCGGTTGCGCCATAGGTTGTGCCCTTGGCGGCCGAAAATATACCGTCTCCTATCGGTTGCTCCATTGGGTACGCTCTCGGCGGCCAAGAATAAAACCGTCTCCTATCTGTTGCCCCACAGGTTGCGCCCTCGGCGGCCGAGAATAAAACCGTCTCCGATCGGTTGCGCCATAGGTTACGCCGTCGGCGGCCGAGAATAAAACTGTCGCGTAACAGGTGCGACCAGTCTGTTCAGTTTAATTATGTTCAGTTCAGTTCAGTTTACCTCGCGAGAAACAAATGCGGGTTACACCCGAAAACACGAGCTATAAACGGCGACCATCTGGGCATTTAGGGGAGCCCAGCGACTGCATCCATGTTCAGTCGCTTCGGTTGCAAATCAGAAGCGGCGCTTCCCGTTCTTGTCAGGAAAGGTTTCAGACAAATGGCCGTTCCGCTCCAGACATCCTCCGAAAAATCGGCCCCAGAGGGGACTCCGAATCGACATCGTCTTAGAATCGCTTCCCGAGGTCTTTCGAACGGCCCAAAGAAGACCCAGAGCGCCCAAGAGCGCCCCCAGAAGTCCCCAAGAGACCCCCAAAAGCGCTCAAGGAGGCACCCAGACAGCTCACAAGAATCCCAAGAGAGCCCAAGATGGGCCAAGAGGGCCCCAAGTGACTCCCCGGAGCGCCCCTAGAGGCCCCTAACCGGCCCAAGAAAGCTCCAAGACAGCCCAAAATGGCGCCGAGACGGCCCAAGACAGCTCCCAAATAACCCCACGACGCGCCCAGACAGCCCAAGAAGTTCCCAGAAGCCCACAAGAGGACGCAAGAGGCCCCCAAGAAGCCCTCAACAGACCCCAAAACAACCCCGCGCGGCGCAGACACTTGCACGTGTATGAATGCCATCGCTCGGATGCCAGGCCGGATGCCGTCCGTTCAAGTGTTCATCTGCATCCTGGACGGCCGCGCTTCCTCTAGGCCACTAGTTCCGGAACCGACATTCGCTGAGTCGCCGAAATGGCATTCGCGACAGGAGTTTTTGTTGCTCGATTGGTGACTTCCTCGAGAAGCCTTTCCCTTGGCTTGCCTGGTGCTTGGCAACAGACAGCCACGCGACTACTTGAATTGAATGCGCTTCTCATGCAGTAGTCTCACTCACTCAGAATAGTTGCCACGTTTTTTCATGCTGCAAGGAACAGGCAGTGTAGCGGACCCCCACCAGCTACCGCTCGGGGGAGCGACGTGCTCACCTGTAAGTATCTGGCCTGCAGTCGTTACGCAAGAGCTTGCAATCTCAAGCATCATGGTCCGCGACAGGGTTAAGCGTCTCAGTGAAGCCCTTATGAAATCATTTTGTCCCGCTGCTGCTGTCTTCACTATTGTATGCTTATGGCTAGTCAGAGTGTTCTCTGCGGGAGTCTCGGCAGGCATCTGCCAGTACTTGGGCTAGTTTCGAAGACTTTCTTTGAAGTTGGCGTTCCGCGCTGTCTGGCCCAAGGCAGCCTTGAGGTTGCGTGATGCCGCAGCGCCCATTTTGCTTCATTGTACCCTTGCTGCGTTTGTTCGCTGTACCCTTCCGAATTCTGAGCCTTTCTTGGCTACATTTTTCCTCATTGCCGCAGGCGGGCCCGCCTGCCTGCGCGCAGTGCGCCGCCTCTCTCTTGGTTAGGGGGAGTCTCATCGTCCCCGAGAAGAGGTCGATGGATGGCGCCGCCGTGTGTTTCGGCCACCTCCCACCTTCCCTAGGCAGCTAGATGCGTGGAGCGGTAAGAGCTCGCGCAGTTTTGCACGTGGTGCCGTTGCGCCATGCCGAGGTGCAGGTCAAGGCCCCCGCTCAATTTAGTTTTGGGTGAAGCCAGGGGAACATTCTGACAAGGCGCTCGATCTGGAAGAAAAACAAAAAAAAACTGCGCGGCGCCAGGAGCCCCCAGGATAGCCCGATAGGGTCACCAGGACCCTCTCTTGATTCAACATCCTTCTCCAATTGCCTCTTGCTGTCGTCCGTCGTCGTCATCGTCGTCGTCGTCCTCCGCATTCCTCCTCGTACTCGCCCGAGATCTCTTCGCCCTCGTCCTTGTGCTTCTCTCCCTCCTCGTTGTCCTCATGCTCCTCCTCGTTATCCTCACGTTCTCCACATCGTCCTCATCATCGCCTCCTCGTCGCCTTCGCCTTTCTTTCTTCTTCATCGCCCAATCAGCCCATTGGACTAGAGCGGCGCTTCCCGTTCTTGTCCGATCAGGTTTTCCTTTGATTTGATACCGTAGATGCCCCACGCCGTATTCGAGACTGCAGGTGAACGTGCATCAATAATGAAAGGGATGATGATGATGAGCAGAAGAAATACTGGAGTATCTCGAGTGCCGACTGAAGGGAAGATTGTGGCGCGCGGGCATGAACAGCACCATGTGTTCTGCCAGGCACGAGAAGGGCTGCAACACAGCGAAGAGTCTAGCGCCCTTGTACGACTGCACAGAGGCCCGCGTCACAAAAGAGGGGGCAGGAGGGGGCGACATGAAACGCGCAGAAGACTGGCAAGGAGAGGAAGGGAAGGTCACAGTCGGGGCACTGAAGAAGGAACCCTTCTCGTTTGGGAGGGGCTCGGTGTTCCTTGATTGTTTCACAGTTTGCCTTAGGCTTCCCTTAGGTTTTCGAAGGTAGATCGAAGTTGAACTTGTGGGAAAAGGGGCCTCGTTCCTTATTTAGGGTTCCTTAGGTCAACGCCCCGACTGTAGGGACAGACTCTGACTCCAGGGTGTAATGTCGTGCGTGCTTTTGCATGTTGCGCTTGGGAAGCCCACTCCAGTATTCCTGAGCGCCGCACGGGCTCTCCACTTGATTGATCGCCTTTTCCTTGATCGCTATGCCTCTTCATGTTCCTCCGCTTCTACTATCCAGATTGGCCTTTGTACCATTCTACCTCGACGTCGTCGCTTGGAGCTTCGGGCGTGGAGTAGCAGACAGTTCCTGCCTATGTCGGCGTTGCAAGGTATATTGCAGCGCTTCTGATACATCAACGTTTTGCGAGATCGGCGGGTGTTCATTTCTCGTTCTATCTGTGTTAGTATCATATTGTCATCAGTTTCCCTCGTTCTCTCATTCTCTCCGCCCTCATTCCTAAGATCAATACAGCACGGCTGGCCTCTCTTCTCCTCGATGTTTTTTCTTCGATTGGAAGCTCCACCCCGATGGACGGGATGCTCCGCACTGAAATTCCTTGTCGGCGACCGCAGACACGCAGGTGGTCCAGTTATGCAGGCCATCACAATTGCGATGGCATCCTCCTCCCTTTCTTCCGTCCTAGCCCCCGCCCTGTATCTCCTTGCTGCTGCTGCTGCTGAAGATCCTCCTGATCATGGTGTTACCTTCACAGCTTCCTCGCCTTCCTCCTCCTGATGGGCAGGCGAACGAGACGCAGGAGCAGTGGCCAGATATCCAGAAGGCGTGGTGCTGCAAGGCGTTCCGTGTGGCATGCCCGAAGATACTCCAGGCCGTCACCAGGGAGAGGCAGGGAAGTTCTTGCGGGGAGGTCGATCTAGAGGGAGAGGGGCTGTGATGGAGATGTGGAGGTGGGAGAGGACGCGCGGAGGTGGATCGGGCGGGGGGGGGGGCCCTTCCTCCTGTCTCGTCTCCCCGCCTCCTCTCCCAAGTCCTCCCTCTCCCTCCCCCTCCCCCCCCTCCTCCTCGCTGGCCGCGGCACGCCTGGTCCTCCGCGCCCCGCCCGCGGCCCTGCTGGAGGCGCCCCTCCTCCTGGGTCCGCAGGCGGCCCCCGCGTCCAGCGGTGGCCGAAGGGGGGGGGGGGGGCTCGGCGCGAGACGTCCCCGCCCACTCCGCCTGCCACTCTTCTCCTCCCATCAGCTTGGCCTCGGGTGTTTCTGCGCCCGCCGCCGCCGCCCCTGCTGATGCTGCTGCTGCTGCTCTCCCCGCCCTCCCGTCTGCCCCTGTTCCCCTCCCCTTCCCTCATTCTTCCTCCATCTTCCTCCTCCTCCGACTCCTCCTGCTCCGTAGCCATTTTGGCTCAAGATGTCTGCTTTGCGCAAGCAGGGCATGGATACCGCTAGTCCGCGGCCAGTCCAATCGACCTTCCAGCCACAACCACGGGTGAGCTGGCACCCCTCCATATCATTCGCTCGCGGCAGCGCCATCCGCTCCGCCTCCTGTCGCCCCGGCGCTCTCGGCCCGACGGCATGGCAGCGGAGGACGGTGCTGGCCGTGGTTTTGGGCGCGCTGGCGGTGGTCATCGCGGCCCTGGCGCCGCCGCCCCTGCTGGTCACCCGCGTCGAGAGCAGGCCTCTTCCGCATCTGGACGGTCCCTCTCGCGCAGCACGGAGGAGCGGAGTGTTCGCCCGCGGCGCAGAGGCACCAAGAAGGATGACTCGCTGGCGGTGCCCGCGGCTCGAAGTGACCGAAAGCGAGATGCTCGCCTTCCCGCCGCCGACCCTGATGTGCTGGCCCGCGAGCAGGACATGGTCTCCACGGTCGCTGATCAGCCTGATCTCCATGCACCAGTCGCTGCTCCCGCTCATGACCGACCACCCGCTGCTTCACCGCGCCCTGAAGCTGAACCCGACCCTTGGCAAGTTCCTGGTGGAGGGCCCTGGCCAACTCGTACATCGGCTCCTGCGATTGGCGCCCCGCCTCCAGGCACACCGGTGGGTGGTTGTGCCACGCCTACGGGGCTCTCGGGTGACCTCCAGGCACTGCTGGACGGCTGCCTGCAGCAGGCCTCTGCGGCGCTGGCGGAGACGTCTCGGGTGCAGCTCGCCTCCTGCCAGGCTCAGCTGGTGGGGATGTTCCAGGTGCAGCAGGAGCACGTCGCCAAGACGCTCGCGGTGCATGCCCGCGACGTCGCCAAGGTCGGCGAGCGCGCGGACGCCCTCGCGGAGGAGCAGCGCCGCATGCGAGCCCAGATCAGCGACATCGAGAAGACGCTCGCCATGGCCGAGAAAGAGATCCCGATCATCGACTTCCAGGCGCTCGGGGCGTGGGCCAGGCCCCCGACGCGATGATTTTCTCTGTGGGTGCACCAGAGTTGGTTGGCCCTGCCCAACTTCGCGCTGGAATTGCCGACTGGCTCACGGCTGCTGGCCTCGACAACAACATGGTCCGCCTCGACGTCAACGTCCCCAGCAAGCGCTTCAACGTGGTCGTGGAGGGCGGCCTGGACGTCGCCATACCGCGTGCCCAAGCGTTGGCTCGACACCTTCGCAACCCCGCGACTCCCAATGGTTGGCGTACATTCCAGTGCCAAGCGGTGGGTGGTGGGATCGTCCCGCTCTACGTTTCTCCTGATAAATTGCCTCAACAAGTTCGTATGGAAATTCAGACGCGGCGGCTCGCCAACATCCTTGGCGACGCGGTCCCCGGCCACGCCTTCAGTGCCCAGCGCGCTCGTGGCATCATCACCTCCCAGGGCGCCAGGCTGGCAAAGCTCGAGATTGGTGAGCGACGTGAGGTGGACACCACCATTCGTTGGAACATGGGCATGGCTTCCCGACTGGCCATCGACAGGGATGCGATCGCCGAGCAGTTCAATCAGGCCTTCTCGCTCGAGGACCGCACGGAGTGGCTTTAGCACCACGCACTGGTCGCCGTGGCGCCCTTCGTCTACGGAGCGTGGATCGCGCGGGCTGCACTTGGCGGCGTGGAGCGCCAGGGGCCTGCTGCACTCGAACCCTCGGATGCGACGGCGCAAGGTCGCGTTCCTGAGCTCCCACATGCGCGCGGGCGCCGTGATCCTGATCCAAGAAGTCCACGGCTCCGAAGACGCGCTGAAGGTCTTCTGCCAGCGGCAGCCGCAGCGCGACCTCTTTTCCCTGACAGCAGGCCCCCCCCCCCGGCGCGGGTGGCGTTGCCTCCCTGGTCCCGCAGTTGGCGGCGCAGCCCCCTCGTGCGCGGCTCGCGCCCTCTCCTTCGACATCGTGGTGCCTGGACGGGTCGCGCTCCTCAGTGTCTCCGACCCCCTGGCGCAGCGCAGCAGGAAGATCCTGAATGCGCACAACTTCGACCTCTCGGCTGACGACTTCGCGGCGGCGGAGCAGTCCTGGAGAGATGGCCTCGCCTGGGCCGCGGGCAATCACCTGAGGCCCATCTTCATCGGCGCGGGCGACTTCAACATCGCGGGCCGACCAACGGTCTCCCAACGTTATCCTGCTGCTGGTGGGGCCTGGCGTTTGCGCCCCGATCAACGGTGCCAACTCCGTCAACCTGCTTGGCGGCGTCTCTCCGGCGCGGCGCTGGAGGTCGAGGCGCAGTGGCCCACCCGCTACGACAAGGCCAGCCAGCAGCTCTCGGTGATTGACCGCATCTTCCTGGGGATCGACGCGCATGCGATGATCTCTGTGTCTGCGCGCCTCACGACTGCCTGCGGCGCGATGGAGATGTCGGAGCGCGGCCTCAGTGACCATGCACCTCTCGTGCTGCAGATCGAGATGGCCAGGCACGTTCCGCGCGAGGAGCAGGCGATCCCCTCGCACCTCTTCTTCCACCCGAAGTACCGTGAGATGTTCTCGTTGATGGTGGCGAATTGTGACCTGGAAATGGCGACTGTCGAGGGCCGTTGGCGCGCCACCAAAACCTGCATGAAGCTCGCATCTCGACGGGTGCGAGATGGGCAGCTCCGCGCCACTTCCTCCCTGAAGGTCAAGGACGGCAACGCCGAGACCACGCGCATGGGCTTCAAGACGGCGGCGCGGGCCCTCTGGCGTCAAGACGCTCCCCTGGCGGCCCGCCTGCTGGCATCGTGTCCTGCCCTGGCCTCCCACCTGCTCATCGACCGCGGTGCAGAGGGCGTGGCGGACTCCAGGGCCTTCGGCGACACCTTCGACGCGGTCGCCGCGATGGTGCATGCCTTGCGCAGGCAGGCGGCGGAGGCTGCCGCGCGGCGCGCCAGCGACCGCGGCGGCCCCGCCTGGCGTCGGGCGGAGCGCAGGTCGGCCAGGCATGCGCAGCTGCGGGCCCCCTGGCGGCGGCGCATGGTGCTCGCAGGGCTGCGCCTCGACTCCGCGCCCTGCGCCTCCGACGATTCCGAGAATGTTCCGCCGGCATTGCGGGCATGGCGGGCGCGGTGGCCGAGCATTGGGGCAAGATCTTCGAGCGCGCGCCGACCGCGGAGCAGAAGCAGCGGCTCTCCGAGTTTCTCGACCGCTACGCCCCGCAGCGCCTTGTGGTGGAGCTACCCCAGCCGTCGCTGCACGCGCTGGAGCGCGCCGCCGCGCGGGCGCCGCCCAGCGCCCCTGGGCCTGACCAGCTGCCCCGCGCTGCCTTGCGGCGCAGCCCCGACGCCCTGCGTCACCCCCATGCGTTGATGGAACGGCTCTTCAACGAGGGCGTCGGGCCCCACGACCTCAACTGGTCGATCTTCCACTGCGCGCCGAAGGGGGCCGAGGTCGAGGGCGCCCTGCGCCCGCGCCGCATCGACGGTCCGCACTCTCTCCCTCAAGAATGCGGATGCCAAGCTCATTGCCTCCTGCGTGGACCGCGCCCTCCAGCCCATCGCCTCCTCCGCGACCGCTGCGGCGCAGAAAGGCTTCGCTGCTGGGCGGCGACTCGTGGACCACATCCCGTTCCTGGACGCGGAGTGCCGCCGCGAAGGTATTCTGCCTGGGGCTGCCCAACGTAGGCCAATGTTGTTGTCCTACAACTTCCGCCATGCCTTCCCGTCGCTCTTCCACGACCCGCGGTTCGGCGCCCCCCTCGGCCTCCGCAGCGTGGCCTCGGCGCTGTGCTGCAACTGCCTCGCCTTCAGCTCTTTCCGCGCCTCGGGCGCCAGTGCGGCGTTGGAGCCGCTGTTCGCCTTGAGGTGTGGCATCGCGCAGGGCTGCCCTCTTTCTGGCACGGTCTGGTGCTTGGGCATGGACGCCCCATCCGTGCGTTGATCGAGGCGTTGGGAGACCCTCCTGAGGGGCGCCGCACGGCGTGCGCTGATGACTTGGGCATGCTCATCCGCAACGCCAGGGTCCTCCCGCCCATAGCCTCGTCTTTCGCTGACATCGAGTTCGCCTTCAACCTGCAGCTGGCGATCCACGAGTGCGCGCTGGTGCCGCTCTGGGTTGAGGTCACTCTCAACCTGATCTGCGAGACCAAGGAGTACCTGGCCGAGCTGGTCCCGCGTTGGAGCGGCTTCCGCATCGACTCCTCCGACAAGTACTTGGGCACGGGCATCGGCCCTGGCGTATCGGAACCAGGCATCTGGAAGGATGCGGCGGCGAAGTGTTGGCCCCGCGCCTCGGAGTTGAGTCGCGCTGGCATGGCGACCAGCCTCGCTGCCATCGCCTACAACGTGAAAGTGCTCCCCTGCCTCTCCTGCCTGGCCCAGCTCTTCTTCCTCATCCCCGAGATCTGGCGGGTCGAGTTCACGCTGCTCCACCGCCTCCTGCGGTTCCCGCCCTCGTCCATGCGCAAGGCGGACATTCTCTCCATGGGCGCGTGGTGCGGCTCCCTTGCGCCGCTGGGCTTGCTCCCGTACTCGGTCGGCGCGCTCCTCCGTGCCGCGGCCAACGCGGTGCGCGACTGGGTGCCCACGTTGCACGCCCTGCACGATACGGCTGTGGAGCACCTCCCGATGGCGCGCGTCCTTCTGGGATCGTGGTGTCCGAGCTGGTGGGCAACCGGGCGCTCCATCGTTCAGAACTGCGGCCTCGTGATGGACCTGTTCTCCGCCCTGCCGCATCCGCGCCCTGTGTTCGACAAGGTGCCCGTCCCAGTGCCGTCGCCCCTCATCGATGCTGCCTGTCGCGCCATGCGCGCCGAGGAGATGGCGACCGCCCAAGCTGACCCGCCCAGGAAGGTCAAGCGCCAGGCCGTGGCGATGCGCACTCTCCGCGACGGCTTCTACGCGGACCGCGTCGACCAGCTGATCGGCCGCCGCCTGCGGCGGCGGGGCCTGGAGGTTCCAGCCGAGAAGCTCCGCGTGCGCTGGCTGGAGCTCCGCGCCGAGCTGCGCGTGGCTCACCCCGCCCGGCTTTGGTCTTGGCTGCGCACCGTCGTCAACGGCTGGATCACGTCGGGCAGGATGCGCGTCATTGCCCCTCGCCCCTGCCTCATGGGCTGCGACGCGCGGGGCGACCTCTCCCGCTACATGGTCTGCCCGGTGCTCCGCGGCGCCGTCGCGGCCCCCGCTGAGCCGAGTGAGATGGGTAGCGGCACCGTGTTCCTTGGGCTCGGCCACCAGCTCGAGCACCGCATGCGCCCGCACATGGCCTGCGTCCGCGCCGTCGCGCTGGCCACGCAGCTTTTCCATATTCTGATGTGGCGGGCTGGTTGCAGCCTGCCCATCCATGCCGCCGCTGTTGCCGCCTACGCGTGCAGCATTGCATCGTTTACAGGCCTAGCGTAGCTCCGTCTGTACCTGCTCCGCCGAGCCTCGTGCCCTCCGACTCCTCCTGCTCCTCCGCTCACCTCACTGCGTGGGGCGGGCTCACAGGTCGGCCTCACCGTTGTGGTAGGTTTGAGACTCCAGACTCAAGCAGTAAGGAAGCTGCCCTGAATGTGCATGAAGTATTGGTGCGGCCTCCTGCGGTATACCAATGTAGAGTTCGCCTAATCCTGGTTGGAACCCGCGCTATACTAAACAGGCGTGTGGCCAAGGCTAATGCTGATGCATTATGTGCCCCCCACGGCCCAGCAGAGGCTGAAGGCCAGTCTGAATCAGGTTCTGCAGGCGGTGCCCCACAACTGGAGTGAGGCCGTGCGTGTTGCCATGGACTGTCCTGCGGATGGGGCATTGGGCCCCATGGCGGCGGCGGCGTCCTATTCTGAGGCCAACGTCAAGCTCAATGGGCACAGAGTTCTCTCTGCTCACGGTGGCATGGTTTGTGCGCTTTGCGGGTCCTGCCAAGTTGCATGTGGGCGAGTGGCCACGTGCAAGCAAACCCATTAGGACTTGCGAGCGCCCGTCCGAGGACCCACAGGCCACAGCTAGGCAGCGAGATTGTAGTGGCATCTGGCCAGTGCCGCCGATCTGGGGCGCTCCCGATGGTGCTCGGGTTCGCTTGGAGGCCCAGGGGGCCGTCTTGGGGCCTTCTTGGGGCCGTCGTAGGAGGAGGCCTCTTGAGGGGATCTTTGAGCCTCTTAGGAGCTTCTTGGAAGCCCTCTTGGCTGTCTCATGGCGTGCCTGGCCCGTCGGACGCCGTCGGGGGCCGTCTCGGGTGCCTCGGCAACATACATAAACATGCGCAATCCGTGTTGGCAAGCGTCGCAAGACGGCTAAGCTCCTGCCGGCCTGATCGGGTTTTGTTTTCAGCAAGACTTTGCGTTCGCACGCCTTGTTCCCTCCCCTGGGGCGCGACTGTGGCCGCGAGTTGAGCTGAGCTTGGCCCTGTGATGGCCTGTGTTCCCGTCCTCGATTCCACTCAGCCTGCTGTGTGTGCGTGTTTGCGTGGCCCTCATTGCCTTTGCGTTCCCCTCCCCACCAGCCCTCGATGCCCTCTTTACTTTCCCCCCTCCCTATCCCCTCCCTCTCTTTTCCTCCCTCCTTCATCCCTCCTGCTCCTCCGCTGTCCCGCCTCATCCTCGCTCCTGCCCCTCCGCGCTGCCCGAGAACCGCCAGCCCTTGCAGGGCCCGCCCGCGCAGGGGGGGGGGCGGGGGGGCGATGCTCATGGGCGCCTGGCCGCGGCGGCGGTTGGGGAGTTTGCCCGCAGTGGCAGCGCCGTCAGCCCGGGCAGGAAAGCTGGGGGAGCAGGGGACAGGGAAGAGGAGGAGGAGGAGGAGGAAGAGGAGGAGGAGGAGGAGGAGGACGAGGACGAGGACGAGGACGAGGACGAGGGCGAGGACGGCGGCGACGACGACGGCAATGGCGACGACGAGGAGGACGAGGGCGAGCACGAGGATGACAAAGAGGGGGGAGGGTGGAGGGCGAGGGGGACGGGCAGCGGGAGACAGAGGGGGAGCACGAGAAGGAGAGCTGAATGATGAGAAAGGTCGGGGGAATTGGGGGGGAGGAGCAGGGGGGAGGGGGTTGGTCAGGGAGGGGAGGGAGAGGAACAGGGTCGGAGAAGGAGGAGGAGGAGGAGGAGGAGCAGGAGCAAAAAAACAGATATGAGAGGGATGGGTAGAGGCGCGAACGGAGAGGGAAGGGCGACGGAAACGGTCACGGGGAGGGCGACGGGGCGAGCGAGGGAGAGTGGGAGGTGCAGAAGGGGATAAGGATGCAAGGGGAGGCAGGGAAGAAGTGGAAGCGGAGGAGGGTATGAAGGAACAGCAGCAAGAGGAAGAGGACGCGGCGAGAATGTTGATGAAAAGGGTGCGGCCAGCAGGACCACAGACTGATTGCCGCGGTTGCCGCGGCGTGTGGGCGCGGCTGGGGTTGCCGTGGAGATGCGGAGCTTCGTGACTGGGCTATCGTACTGGGGTGCCCCCTTCTGCTGGTCTCTCCCCCATCACCTCCATCTCACCTTCTACTCTGACGGATTACCGTCCCTTTCCCCCTCCTCCCCTCCCTTCCGTCTGCAACTCTCAAGCCCCGAGCAGGCTCCATAGGGCTCCAGTACTGCGGTAGGTCCTGCGAAAAACAGCGAGAGCAAGACATACATGGGGATGTACAGGATTGGTCTTAACATTCACATACACACACTCACACACATACACATACATACACGCACACACATGTTTACGCGTACGCATAGGCACACAGGTACTCACTTTCGTGGCCCGGCCATCACATCGCATCGAGTCGGGACTAGCCAGTCGTTGACCATCGGCTGTTCGCGCCCCGTCTCTATACCTGTCTCCCCTCTCTCTCTCGAAAAGCTGGCGCTGTCAAATGTGTTATTACACGCCTCTATTGTCGTATGCCATACAGCTCCCAAAACTCAGCGCTTACATCGACAAGCTCCCCGCGCACGCTACATGGAGGTTGGCGCAACATCTGGATGTATAATATGCATCGCATGTGCCCATCAGAGCGCACGAACTCATACATACATTTGCGCACGCACAGTTGTTCTGACATGCACTTCTCCCAACTAGTGCTTGCATTGAGTGCTCTGGGTCCTAGGTTCACAGTGTTCGAAGGCTCTGGCGAAAGAGTAGGGTAGCATATATACTGTAGAGTACAGGGCCGAGGAGGGCGCAGAGAGTGGAGTGGTGAGAGTTGAGAACAAGGATGCTCATATTCGCCACCCTGTGATCTCGCCCACGATCTCGCCGAACGGCTCGCCCTGCTGAGTGAGTAGGCCATCCAACCGCCCTGTTAACTGGATGACATTTGAAACATCACGGGTCCGCTCCTTCTCCGTGATAGGTCAGGCCATGTGGTGCTCAGCAGGTGCGCCTGGTCTCTGGACAGCGCAAGAGGCGCTGAGTGAACATCGCCCCCGCCTAATGAAAACATATCTCGTCATTTGACACTCGCGCGAGCTGCCACGCACTTCTCCATTGTCCCATCAGCGACAAGACAGACATGTGCAGGACATAAAAAAGAAGGGGGCCAGTGGGTCCGCGGGGTACCCTCGCCCTCTCCTCACGCAAGCTCCCATCTGCCCTCCTCCTGTCTCCCCCCCCCTCGCCCCTCTCCCTCTCACGTTCCCCTCCCCTCTACAATTACAACATAGGAGTACTTCTTCCATCTCTCCCCCGAAAATGTCCTGAGAGTGTCCGACCTCCCTTCGCGTACCGGTTGTTCAATCACATGTTGTGCGCGATGTTGTTTTTTCTCATGTGTTTTCTCACTTCGATCTTTCCGTATTGTTTTCTGGGCCAAGGATTTGGGCGGAACATTTTTCCGCGCGCGCCATCCGATTGTTTACAGTTTTTCGAGAATGGTGCTCTCGCTGCAGCGTGGGCCTCATTTTCGGATCGGCGCTGTGCTCCCGTTGCTCAGAAAGGCGTTCCCGCCCTGGTGTGGGCCACTTTTCTGGATCCCACGGGTGTCTTGCAGGCACCACAGGTCCCACAGGCTCCACAGGACCCACATGTCCTATGGAAACTGTGGGCTGGCCTACAGGTGTCGCAGGTCTCACAGGTCGGGCATGCCCCGCTGGTGTCATGGGCCAAACAGGTTTCGCAGGTCTCACAGAGCCCACAGTTCGCACAGGTCCCACAAGCCCCACGGGTTCACAGGCCCCACGCGCGTCGCAGGCCTCCCTGGCCCCACGGGCCACTGAGGTCCGGCAGGTCGCACAGGCCCCAGAAGTTTGCGTTCCCGACTGCGCACAACACGATGGGGCCCTCTGCAGAGTTCCGGATCGGTGATAGCACGCGTCCGCGGACAAAAAAAACATCAGCGCCTTGGGAAGGGGAAGGGAGGGATCGGATGCCAGATATGGCGCGAGCGCACCAAGCTTGCCCGGCCCCTCCCGCCTCCGTCTCCAAGGTGTGGCCCTGATTGTCAGCGACCTGTGCCGCCACTGCGCTGCGGGCACGGCGGCGCAGGCGCTGTTCGCCCTGGCGCACGTGCCACTGGTCCGGACACGGACGGAGAGCCCAGGAGGAGGAGGAGGAGGCGGAGGAGGAGGATGAGGCGGAGGAGGAGGAGGCCAGGGGATGGGGGGAGGCTATTTGCTGCAGTTTCTCGTCCCCTTCCCGTCAACCTGCTTCCCCACCGCCCCATCCTCCTCCTTGTCCTCTTTCTCTTGCTCGACGCTGGCCCCCTCTGTCGTTTTCTCCTTCTCCTTTTTCTTCTTCCTCTTTTCCTCCTCCTCCGTTTCTTCAAATCACACACACACACCCTCTCTCTCTATCGTTGAATTGTTTACTCTCCTCTCCCTCGTAGTCACGTTGGCTCAGGCCAGCTTTGCTCGGAAAGAGCGCGCTCGTGGCACACTTCTCACTAACAGGGGGGCCCCAGCTTCAAGCTCTCCTCCCCTCCCTTGGAAACGGAAGCTACACCCCCTCACCTTTTTTGCAGGCATTTTTTAGCGGGAAGGGGCCCTAGCTAAAGGGGGGAAGGGCTGAGAAGCTACCCCCTCCTCCCCCTCTTTTCGGGGCCTGGGGTCAGCTCAGGCCCCCCTTACAAGGGGGGTTGGGGGGGTTCCGAAGCTACCCCCCCTTCCTTTTGTTTGGGTGTTGTAGCTGGGGGGGTCCTGGCTAAAGAGGGGGGGGGGCTTGGAAGCTATCCCCCTCCCCCCCTACCACTCCATTTTGGGGCCCTGGGTAAGCCTGGGCTTTCCTTTTCAAAGGGGGTATCTAGCCCTTTCCCTCCCCTCCTTCTGCTGGTTTTTCTAGCTGCAGGGCCCTGGCTGAGGGGGGGGGTTCGAAGCTACTTTTCTTCTTTGGTTTTCGGCGCCCCGTTGGTGTTCGGCGTACTTGTGGTTTTGGGCGTCTCTTTGGTTTTCGGCGCCTCTTTGGTTTTCGGCGCTCCTTGTGCCTTTGGCGCTCCTTTGGTTGTCGGCGCTCCTTTGGATTTCTGCGCTCCCTGGGTTTTCGGCGCTCCTGTGGTTTTCGGCGCTCCTTTGGGTTTCTACGGCCCTTTTTTAGTTTGCTGCGCACCCTTTGGTGTTCGACGTATCATTGGTGGTTTTCGGTGCCGTCTTGGGTTCTGGCGCCCCATCGGTTTTCGGCGCCCTCTTCGCTTTCGGCGCCCTTTTGTTGTTCGGCACCCCTTTAGTTTTCGGGGCCCTTTTGGTTTTTGGCGCTCTTTGGTTTTCGGCGCCACTTTGGTTTTGGGCGCCCTTCGGCTTTCGGCGCGCCTTGGGTTTTTGGCGCGCTTTGGTTTTCGACGCCCTTTAAATTATCGGCGCGTCTTTTTGGTTTTTCTGCGACCCTTTGGTTTTCGGCGCATCGTTGGTTTTCGGCACCCCTCTGGTTTTCGGCGCTCCTGCGGTTGTCGGCGCCCCTTTGGTTTTCATTTGTTGTCTGCGTCCTTCTTGTTTTCACCGCCCTGTCCGTGTTCGGAGTTTTTTGTCGTTTTCGGCATTCTTAAGAAAACCAACGGTTTTTAAACATGTTCAGAAAATGCTACCAAACAGGCTTCGCGCGCGCACATGTCAAAATTGTTCGAGCGCCTTTGCGCGCGTGCCGTCGCGAGAACCCTTTGCAAAATATTGGACGAAGTGCGCTCGCGCGCGTCGTCGCGCGCGCATGCCGAAATCCTTGAACAACTTGCGGTTTCGTAACAAGTTCAAAATCGAATGTCAAACAAACAAATAGAAACACAAGGTTTCGCAACATCATCTCTCAAACAAGACAACAAAAAAACTGGCGAGCGCGAGCTTACGAATTCTGGGAGAAAACCATAGGCTCCTCAACACCTTCATGGAATTCTGCCAAAGGGGCCTCTGGCGCCGCATGCCGACATCATTCGCGCACCTCTGCGCGCGTGCTGGGGGGGCACGGTCTGTGTCAAATAGTTAAAACCATGCGGGCCACTCTCGCGCGTCTGGCGCGCTCGCGTCTCGAATTCCTTTCAAAACCTTCATCACCGACGCAAAGACGCCGTCGTCGTCGTCGGCGTGATCGGCATCGGCGCCGTCACTGGCAGTGACGTCGTCGCTGTCAGCATCGTCACCAACATCGCTACTATCATCATCATCATCGCGTCTACCGTTGTCGACGTTGCCATGATGCCGCGCCCGCCCAAGTCGCCGACCCGTACTGAAGTGCCCGCTGGGATGTGCCGAGCGGTCACCACCACCGCGGGTCGGTCGTGCCAAACTACTTGGCCGCTGCGTGCGCGCGCATGCGCGGGCTGGCGCGGCCGCAGAGATGCACCAGCCAACGCCAAGCACTCATCGCAATCGCCGCCGCATGAGGTTTGCAAACCAAGTTGCGGGTGGGTGGGTGGGATGTTTGCACGAGCAGTGGAGTGGACAACTCACTGCGAACAGAGATTAATTGCACCTCACAGATCGCACAGCATCGGCTGCGCATCGGCGAAAGGCAATGCTGGCAGCGGCTCAGCCGCGGCTGCCTGACCTGCCGGAGAAGAACGGGACGTAGTGCCTGTACGTCGACTTCTACGTTTACTCTTGATGCCAGAGGGCTTGTTGGTGGAATGCGTCGGTCCGTTTCGGTTTACCCCAAAGGGAGATCCAACGGCTGTATCGGCACCCCTTTTCACCTGGCGCTGTACAAGTTGTTGGGGGTTAGCGCTGGGGGGGGGGAGGGCCAAAATGCTTCGGGGGGTGCCACGAATCCGTGGACCTCCCGGGCGTATTGAGCTAAAACGCCGTGCCTACACGTCCCGCCGCGGGGGGAGTTGTTACTCTTCTCTCCCCGTTCGCTCCCTGCCGCTTCCTGATGCCACCTGACGCCGCCGCTTCCGAAGTTGTAGCCTGAAGGATCGAGCGCGGTTTGTGCGTGAGGGAAAGTGAGTGTTGGGGTCGTCGCCTCGTCGTCGCCCCCTCCTGCTCAGCCCCCTCATTTATTGATGTCAGTTTAACGGGCTATTGAGTCTTGAGAAGCATGTATGGTATACCCATCATGGGAGATGAAATTGATATGTTGGCATCACCATGACATCCTACTTTTCCAGAAACCGTATTCGTCTCGCAAATGACTCAGTGACCCACGCAGATGCCACAAATCACGTCACTGATGATGCCACGGTTGTCTTGGATGTTGCGGCGCCGGCGTAAACATCGAAGCATTCATCCAAAACCGTGCATTACCAAAGACACAACATGGAGGTGTTGACCACAGACGTGGCCTCGACTGGCGAATGGGCGTCGCGGCACGCGCGCGCACGTGGAGGTGCCCGAACCATGAAATTGGATGGTCGCCGCTAAGATTGCTCGATGTTTGCCTGCGTGAGCTGTGGACCGTCCAGCGAGCGGGGGTGAGGGGTGCAGGCTGTCTTCGCGCTGTCCTCGGTGCTGCATCGGTTTCCATATTGCTTCGATGTTTCGAATTTTTTTCGTGGGGAGTGGTGGATCCTGTGCCTCCAGACAGACAGGTGTTCCCCCCACGCGAGCTTGCCTCATCCGACCCCGCGTTTTCCACGCAATGTCAAGACAACTACGTTCAACTGGCTCGACGACTAATGGGTAACACTTCCAGGGAATCGTGTCGGGGTCAGTCGTGGGGCAGCTGCCAAGTTGCAAGGGCGTCCAGGTCCAGGGCGGGTTCCTCCTCATTCCTCCTCCTCCTCCTCCTTCTCCTCCTCCACCTCCTTTTCCTCCTCCTCCTCCTCCTCCTCCTCCTCCTCCTCCTCCTCCTCCTCCTCCTCCTCTTCCTCCTACCAGCAATACCTGGGTGGTGGGATCGGACCGTCGCCAACTACAATGACGGCTACCTCTTCGTCGAGCTCTTCGACCTTGTTGATTCAGACAACGTGCCCTCTGTCGACTTTGCAGCCACTGTCGATGCAGAGTGCAGCGCCCTCGCCACCAATTTCGTCTCTGTCGATCCGCAGTGCCAGTCCACGGTTAAGGCTTTCAGCATCCATGCAGACTAAGAGGCCATCTCACCTGCCGAGAGCGGACTCCTCTCCGACGGGTTCGGTAGCCGTAGCGCCAAAACATGTTCCGCTTTGCGCTCTTCCCGTGTCTTCCATCTCGCCACCGCTGTCCACTGCGCTCCCTGATCCGATCTGGGATCGCCAGGATTTGGACTCTCCCACCCCGTCCTTTCCTCCCCTGACTTCGTCCTCCTCTCCGCCCCTCGGTCGATCGTCGCCTCCGCGCAAGCTTCCGCAGCCTGGTTCTTCGCCCGCCCCGCTGCCGCGGGCGTCGGCGATGGTGAGGAGTCCGACCTTTCTCTCCCTCCCGCCTCCCTTGAGGACCTCGCCCCGCTCTTCCCCTCCGTCCTCCCCTCCCCAGATTTCTGGGGATGTCTCGCAAGATTCGCGACCGAGATTAATGAATCTCGGTCGTAAATCGCTCGGGACGTTCGCACGCCCACGCGCGCGGTCGCAGCCCTGCGCCGCGGCCGCCTCGCTTCCGCGGGCGTCGGCGTCGGCGAGCCCTCCGCCCCTGCCGCCCGCCGGCCCGCCGCTGGCCCTGCCCCCACCCGTGGGTGCGTCTGGGTTTTGAGGTTAGGATCGACGTTCCACTCTTACGCTGGGCTCCTCCTCCTCCTCCTCCTCCTCCTCCTCCTCCTCCTCCCACCTTGTTTTGGTGCCCCAAACACTTAACAGCATATCCCCGTCCCCCTTCTCTGTTTTTCCTTCTCTTCTTTCCGCTACCTCCCGCTCTCAGTGTCCTTGTCCTTGCCCTCATCCTCCTCTTCATGCTCCGTCTCCGTCTCCTCCTCCTCCTCCCCCTCCTCCTCCTCTTCGTTCTCCTTCTCCTCCTCCTCCTACTTTTTCTCCGTTTTGGCTTCTGGACCATGTTCCCTTTTGGTGGCTATAATGGTGGTGACGGTGGTGGGGACTGCGATCTTGGTCGCGGTTATTGTCGTGATCGTCGTCGTGGCACTGGTCGGTTACGGCCGAGATAGTCGTTGCGGTGGCAGTGGCCGCACGCGTCGCGGCTGTGGTCCTGGCTGGGGCCACAGCCGTGGTTGTGGTCGTGATCGTTGTGGTGGTGGTGGTGGTTGTGGTCGCGGTTGTGGTCGCTGTGGTCGTTGAGGTCGTCGTGCTAGCTGCGTACTCGGTCGCTGCCGCGGCGGCGGTGGAGGCAGCACAGGAAGGGGGGCCGAGGGTGCAGCGCGGGGGGCCGTGCCCCCCGAGGTGGGGGCGCTCGGGCTCATGGCGCTGCCGGAGGCCGAGGCGGCTCGCCCCGCGCACCTCGCCCGTCCGGGCCGCTGCCCCTCGCCCGTGCCCCGCACCCCCTGCGAGAGCAGGTGAGGAGGAGGAGGAGGAGGAGGAGGAGGAGGACGAGGAGGAAGCGAGAGACAGGACGATGAGGAAACGAGAGAGAGAGGACGAGGAGGGGGGGAGGAGGGAGGAGGGAGAACGGAGGGAGGAGGAAGGCGAGGGCGACGAAGCATGGCCTGTCCCCCACTTCGTCTACCCAGTCCCCCTCGTTCGTCCCTTCATGGTCCCTTTCTAATTCTGGTTATGTCCCCTCCCCCGTCCTCCCTGCTTGTCTCGCACACTATTCCATCTCCACTTCGCAGATTCGTTTCGCTTCTGCTCTCTCCAACCTAGCGTGGAGGTATGCGGGGAGTACGGTGGCTGCCCGCGCGAGGTGAATGCGCACGTGTGCTTTCAATTGCTCATGGGGCTCGATCTGACGAAATCCTAGCTGATCCGCTATCCTGATTGGGTATCGCTAGCGTTCCGTCGCCAGGGTTTTGTTATCGATCGAAGCGTCTATTGACAATGTCTACATTCGAGCCAGCCCGAAGCGACGATGGCGGTGACGACGATGACGCTGATGATGATGGTGATGACGATGACGATGACGATGACGATGGCGATGACGATGACGATGGTGTTGAGGATGAAGAGGAGGAGGATGGGGATAGTGATGAAGATGACGATGATGATGATGGTAGTGATGCTGATGATGATGATGATGATGATGATGATGATGATGATGGTAGTGATGATGATGATGATGATGATGATGATGATGATGATGATGGTAGTGATGATGATGATGGTGATGGTGATGGTGACGGTGATGGTGATGGTGATTGTGATGGTTATGTTGATGATGCTGCTGATGATGATGGTTAGTATGGTGGTGTCGGTGGTGGTTATGCTGATGACGATGACGATGACGATGATGATGATGATGATGATGCTATTGATGGTGATGATGTTGGTGAGTATGGTGATGGTGATGGTGATTGTGATCGTGATTGTGATCGTGATTGTGGTGATGATGATGCTGATGAGGATGATGCCGATGGCGATGAGGATGAGGATGGTGCCGATGATGATGATGATGCTGATGCTGATGATGCTGCTGGTGATGATGCTGCTGCTACTGATGATGATGCTGATTATGATGATGGCTGATGATGATGATGACGCTGATGATGATGATGACGAAGAATATGATGATGATGATGATGATGATGATGATGATGATGATGATGATGATGATGATGATGATGATGGTGATGGTGATGGTGATGGATGGTGATGGTGATGGTGATGGTGATGATGATGCTGATGATGATGATGATGGTGGTGGTGGTGATGGTGGTGGTGGTCGGTTGTCGTGAAGAAATGGAAGGGTGCACAGTCCGCCTGACGAAAGCAGACCTTCACCCGCTGACAAGCGCATAGGGCGAAGAAGCCGTCCGACACCTCAAGTTTTCCGAGTCAATACCCCGCGGTCCTGGAGGGCTCTGTACATCCATGTCCGAGCGCAGTCCAGTCCGCTCCCCAAACAGCGGCAAGGCGGCGCATGCAAAGGAAAGGCGGGAGGTTTCTCCGAAGTATGGTCTCAGCCGCCGTACGCAGCGACTCCGAGCGCAGCCCAACAAGGAAGGCTGGCCCGACAAGCAAGACTGCAAAGCCCGCCCCCCCTCTCGTGCGGCTTTGCGTCAGCGCTGGCCAGAGCGAACCCCCCGCGGCCCGCGACCGCCATGGTCTGCGGCACAACACCCCAGCAGAACGGACCAGCCCCGGCGGGACGCCACCGCTCCACGCGTGACGGATGCGCGCCCGATACCCCGCCGATATCGAGCGTGGATCGTCCAAGCGAGAAGTCGTTCGTTTAAGCGAAAAAGTGGTTTCGCTCAAACGAGAAGGCAACCAGCGAAAACAAGTAAAAACTACGTAATGTAAAGGTACGAGCACCAGAACACCGAGACACATATCACCATAACACAGAGACACAGAAGCAGAACGCAGAGATACAACCACCAGAACACAAGGGCACAAGAACACAGAGACTCCGACCACAAGAACACAGAAACACATATACACAACAACACAGAGGCATAGAGCACCAGATCACAGAGACACAGCACCAGAAAATCGAGACACAGAGCACCAGATCACAGAGACACGTATCACAAGAACACAGAGACACAGAGCACCAGAACACCGAGACACAGACGCAGTACACAGACACAGAGCACGATATCACAGAGAAACATAGCAAACGAACGCGAGACACAGCACAATAATACCGAGACGCAGAGCACCGAGACACAGAGACACAGAGCACCAGAACACATAGCACAAGAACGCAATGGCACAGAGCACTATAACACAGAGACACAGAGCACCAGAACACAGAGACACAGAGCACAAGAACACCGAGACACGGAACACCTTAATGCAGATACGCAGAGCACAAGATCACAGGCACAGAGCACCAGAAGAGAGACGCAGAGCACGAGAACACAGGGACAGAAAACCAGAACACGGAGACAGAGCACGAGACCACAGAGGCGCATAGACACAGAACACAGAGACGCAGAGACACATGACACAGAGACACAGCACACAAAATCACCGAGACACAGAGACACATACCACAGAGATACAGAGACACTGACCAAGAGACGCAAAAGCACAGACCACAGAGACACAAAGACGCAGGACACAGAGACGCAGGAGACAGAGACACAGAGCACCAGAACACAGAGATACAGAGACACAGAACACCAACATGGAGCGACATGTGGCCGTGAATCGCGTGAAGGGTGTGACGAAATGGCCCCGAGGCGCAATGCGAATGCAGCCGCTGCGACGACGACGACGGCGACGACCGCGACCGCGTCCGCAGCCACGGCTGCGACGAAACAGCGGCGGCGGCGACGACGACGCGGCTGGCTGGCTTCGCGCGCGAGGGGTTCCGACTCCCCGCGCTTCTCCCCAGTTCCCGCCATGGCCGCGGGGCTCGGGGGTGCCAGGAACCAGGATTTCCGCTCGTTCCGGGCAGGAGTTCTTCAAAATCCGGGTCCCCGCTATCCGCGGGGCGCGGGGGTGCCAAGAACCAGGATTTCAACGCGTTTCGGGGAGGAGTTTTGTAAATTCCCCGCCGCCTCCTGGTTTCAGGTGGCCGCTCCATGCTTTCATGCTCGATGCTGCGTGCGGCTCGAGGAGGAGGAGGAGGAGGAGGAGGAGGAGGAGGAGGAGGAGGAGGAGGAGGAGGAGGGTCACAAAGCGGAGCAAGGAGTGATCCTCAGCGCATTCCCTCTCGTTCGCTCGAACGTCCGCGGTTTTCGCGCGAATCCTTTTCGCGCGGACGGCACGCCCTACACCGAGAATTTCACCGAGACCCCACCGAGACCCCCCCACCGAGACCCCGCCGAGGCCTTCACGAGGCCCTCGCCGAGGCCCCACCCCCGTTGGCGCCAGGGGTGGTCATAGTGGCTGGGGTGCTGGCGAGGGTGCCGGCCCCAGCGCCGCGGGGCCACAGCCGAGGGACCGATGCGCCTCCAGTCCGAAGGTGGGGGGTGGGTCCGCGGCAGGCGTGCCCGGCGCGCCTGACCTCAGCCCGCCGCCATCCCCCAGCGGCCGCCCCACGGGGCGGGCGGGCGGGCACTCCGACGGCGCGTGCGCTGCCTCGGCGCTGCGACGACGCCTTTTCGACGCCTCCTCCTTCGCGCCGCGACCGCGCCCTTGCCCCACTGGGGCGACGCTGGGAGTGCGCGGGGGGGAACGCTTGGGCGCCGCCCCTGCTGGGCGACGGGCGCCTGCGAGGCTGGCAAGCGACATCGCATGCATGGTGCCCCGAGACAAAGCCAAATCTCCACCAGCGGAGGCGATCGTGATGAAGTTTAGGGGTTGACAAGTACTGTACCCTCTGAGCACAGGCGAATGCGGCGGCCGAGCGGGCCTCCGACTCCATGCCATACTCATGAGAAGCACACGTGGTCGCTCGGCAGGTCTGTGCTGCGCGCGGTCTACAAGTTGTCGGCCTGTTCCGGGAGCCTTCGAGCACAGGCAGAGCATTGTTGGTTTCCCGGCAGGACAGCGGCTTCCACAGCCGCCGCGTCGTTGCCAGCGAAAAGAGTGGCACCCTCCGTTCGAGCTTGGCCCCGCCAGCGCAGCCATGCCGCACCTGGCTGGCTGCGGCACGAGCACCAGGAGCTGGTCATGATGATGGTGGTGGAGGTGATGATCCAAAAGACGGAGCAGTATTCGACGCCTCGCCTGCAAGATGGTCGGATCGGATCGGAAGCTCGCGGTTTCCAAGCACATGCCAAACCCGATGCCGAGCGTTGATTCTGCAAGGCGTGTTACGTCACATCGGGTTACAAGGTAAGGATAATTCCAACGTTTAGTATTGTTGACCAAGGACTGGGTGGTCAGTTGCCCCCCATCCACTTTCCTCGTGGGGCACAGACCAGATGACGATCCTTCAGGCGCGCAGCCCCGACGAGGGCCAGCATCGGGGACGCGGGCCAGCGCAGCGAAGCCAGACAGTCCAGGACACGAGGTCAGCGCTGCTTGCTACGCTTGCTTTCATAAGTCCTTACACCGCTTGCCTGTACGGGTGCTGTATAATTCATGTTACGCGACTAGTAGGTGCGCTGCCTGATAAGGAATCGGTCGGGCAACGTCGTCTCCCGTGGCCTCCCGTTGTTCCCCGTGGCCTCCCATTGCCGTCCAGATCCGTATCTCGATTCTTCTTCTTCAGCCCCTATCCCTGTCCCAGTTTAGAACCCTTCTATCCCTATCCTGTATCCCAATCCCCACATCCCGAGCCCCATCTCACTACCCTCATCCCTATCTCGATCCGTCCACCATGGCATCCATCGTGACCCCCGATCGTGGCCCCGATCGTAAGTGTGTAAGGCTGTGCGGGGTCTTCTGCCGCAAGGGTGTCATTCATATTGCTCCGACCTCCGCTG